GTTGCCAAAACTGATTGATATTAAAACCAATTAGACCAATAGAACAGAGATTCCCCCAAGTAGAATAAGAATCCTGCAGTTAGTTACTGTTTGGTGGATTAGAAATAACACACACCAAGGAAATTTGGTTGGATTTCAAAAGCATTTGTTAAGCATCTACCATGCTTAAGGCATGTTGTGCTAGGCACTGGAGGTGCAAAGACAGAAATAACAAACTGTCCTGTCCCTTAAGGAATTTCTGTTTTACTGAGGGATACTAAAGTATACTGATAGGTAAACAAAAGAGTGAGAACACTAACAAATAGGATCAGATAAGACATGAGGTAGGAGATGGTAACTTAAGTCATGCTATAAAAGAAACCTAATTTGATCCTCACAGTAATAATAGGGAGCTTCTGAAATTTATTATATGAGGACATCGAATTGGTCATACCTAGACTTTAGGATAGGCTGGATTGGAGAGATGCTGGAAGCAGGGAGATAACTTAGGAAACTATTACAGCAGTTAAAGAGCACAGTGATAAAGACCTGGACACAGGCAGGGTCAGCATGGGGAAGTGAGAAGGGATCATTTAATAAATGTTATGGTGAAAAATGATTAATAGCATATAGAAGAATGAACCTAAACTCATTTCCAGTACTATGCTTAAACTGTACTAATGTAAGTCTATAGTCTCGTTGTTGAGTACTTCTTTGTAATCCTGTGTGCCTATTGTCCATGCCCTTCCAGAATTCTACAGAGAGGTCCCCTAAAAGTAGTAGAGCCCTACATTGAGGTCTCTTGGTATTATATGGGTAGCAGTTCATCATATAGGCTTTCCATTTGTCATCCCTCACTCTATAAATGACCAGCAAGCCATCTCCAGTCTTGACATGTCTTGCCACTGGGTTTCTATAACTCTGGAGGAGAGAGTGAGGCGATGACTTTGCTTGGCTCTGCCTCACTTAAATCCAATTGACTTGTAAATCAAAATATCACCCTCATGACGTCATTGGTCCTTTTTGAGAATAAGGATGAACAAGGAACAACAATAACATGGACAGCTGGATCACTTTTTTTGTGCCTTGTGTACCTTCCTTGTTGGTAATACACTGGCCAGTTTGCAGCTCTGCACTGTCCTTTACATGATCTACAGTTTTTATTATTTGGAGATTTGGTATTCCGTATTTCAAAGCCATAGAGCATCACTATAAAAAAAAATTTGTGTTTTAAAATTTGGGGTTTGTGAAGAATATACTTAGGTCATTACAAGTACTATATAGTTCCACAAATTACCTGTACTTTTCTGGGCCCGATTTATTGTCCATCTGCAGTGCCAGTTGAGGATATGTGTATTGATGGGCCAGCTGCTTGTCAAGACAATAGTCTTTACTCTTTACACTCTTGGTTTTGCCCTTGTGAATAATTAGGATAAGCTCAGGTGAGTGATTAAAGAAGTGATTTAGTAATTCTGGAGTTTGATGCAGTCAGCACAATGTCGTCTGCAAACAGGGGCATCTGGAGGATCTCATCACCTAGAAAGAATTCCTCTTCCTGTCATATACTATAAAAATAAAGAGTTAAACTTTTTAAAAAACTAAAAGTGAATGGAATGCTATTACCTCTTCTAGCTGAGAAGTCATCAGTTTATGAATACTGAAGAAAATGACATTATCAGAGATTAGATGAATATATTCAAATATATTAAAATTTAAAGCTTCCTGCTATATTTGGTGTTTTCTCAGATATAGTAATGAATTTCTGACATATAAGAGCAATTCCTAAGTGGTGTGGAAAGGGGAATGCATAAACATCACAGGAGACCCAGTAATGAGAAAATTGTCATTAATTTCCATTGATCTACTAAAGATACAATTGATATGTGGCTGCTGAAAAATTTGACAAGATACCTACTAGAAGTGGCAAGAAAAGTTAGTAGTGTTTTCTGTTTGACTTTTTTGACCTCCTAAGGCAGACCTGTACAACTTGGCAGGAGGTAGGAGCCAAAATTAAAATAGACTAAACTTCTTCAGGCCACAGATAAGTTTTTAGTGGCTCACTTTCCAAGTAAAGATATAATTAAAACTATATTTTTAAAAAGGGAAATTTTAATTAATACCAATTAATTATACTTATTACTTAAGATTTTATTCATCATGAAATCACATTAATGTTTAAAAATTACTTTGCTAAGTGGTACAAGTTTTAATACATTTTTGAGATTTTCTTATTGTTTACATTTAGTAACAACCAAAAACACAACAAAAAGATCCAACTCTCGGGGCAGCTCGGTTGTGCAGTGCATAGAGCACCAGACCTGGAGTCAGGAGGACCTGAATTCAAATCTGGTCTCAGACCAGACACTTGACACTTAACTAGCTGTGTGACCCTGGGCAAATTACTTAACCCCATTGCCTAGCAAAAAAAAAAGATACAACTCTCGCAACTCTCAGACTAGAGACAGACTGACAATGGTTAGTTGCCACAGGTCATGTGACAAAACAGGAGAGAGTGCACAAGTGGCAACCCACTGCCAAGTTACGTGACAGGCACAATAGTGACTGGGGGAGGCAAGTTAAGCAGGGCACAGACAAAGCACTCGTTCCATCTTTACTTTTACATCCTCTGCATTTTTCACAGGCTACCTGAAATTCTCTGGTGGGCCACAAGTTTATGTTATACAGGCCTGCCCTAAAGTCATGGAAAATATAGACCTAACTAAGTATCACAGACACTTGGTGGGATGAAATTTATGATCAGATTTTGGCTTTGAGTAGGTTATCTTATTAATCCATAGCCTTATGGAAAGAAAATATTTTAGAGTTTGTCTTTGCCAGGAATTCATGGCCAGCAACTGATTGATATTCTCCTCTAAACTTAGCTAGACTGGTTCTCGGAAGGCAGATTCTGAGCTGGTCCCAGATTTAGAAGGGGCAGAGCAAGCTAGATTCCATCCTTCAGGAAATTGGAAAGCTCTTTTAATGAGTCCAGACTTGTAGAAACAAATATCCACTTTTATAATACCATTATTGTGTGATTTTTAACTGCAAGACATGGACAGCCTCTCGATAACTGAAAATGAGTTGTGCACAGAAGGCAATGGAGAAGCACACGATGGAAGATTAATAGCTTTAAGCTATTAAAGCTTAAAACCACAGTAAGACTTTCGGGACATCCTGTGTAACAAATAAAAAACTTCAGAGAAGACAGGAATAAAATTTCATAAGGGACATTTTCACCAAGAGATGGGTGGGGTTATGTGGCAAGGGATGATAGATAGCTTGAGGACTTCATTGGTATCCTCCTAGTGTCAGGAGAAAGTGAAAAAAGTTAGCAGCCCATCATACAAATTTTTTATGAAATTTATCCTGTGGTTAATTTATGAGAGAATATAAAAAGGAGTTGTACAGAGTCATCAGACATGAATGAGTTGTGTGTTGGGAGGAAACATCCAAAATGATAACCTCCTAGATCCAGCTGAATACTCCTAGATAAGAATGGAAAGAATGCTGGACTTGGGAGTCAGGAGGGACCTGGTTTCCAATCCTACTTCTGATGATAGCTATTCAGCCCTGGACAAGTCTCCTAACTTCTCTCAGTCTCACTTTCCTTATGTGATTTCTGTGGCACTCAATTCATGTGGTTATTTGGGGTTCAAAGAAGATAACATAAAACCTTAAAGAGTTGTGTTAATTTTTTTTGTAATGTGAAGTCCCTGAGAGACCTGAACCTTTAAAAATTTTAAAAATTCTCTCTTTTCACCCTCTCCCAAGAAATGTTAGATATCATATTTACACGCAGTAATGTCAGCTTTTTCTAGTATATAACCAAAATACTTAAAACTTTACACTGAGAATGTCATTTAAAGGTTGCTTGCTCTGCCTTCCTTTTTATCTAACCTTTTCTAACTCTGCTGAAGGTCTTTGTAGAAAACAAATTAGGTAATATTTTGGTCCTCTGTCAAGATGAACCCTTGCTTATAGAATTAATTACGAGGTTGACTCTCCATTTACACTCTTTTACTTTTCCCTTTGGGTTTTTCTATTGAATTGAAGTAGATTACAACTGGCAAAATTCAGTAAAAACTCAATAATGCACATTAATTGGGGAAAATTAAGTTTTTATTATAGAATTTTTTAAAACAGTACAATTATGTGATGTTCAGGTATATATAGTAACTTGAACTTGCCAAGTAGAGGTTAGAGTACTTTAATAAATAAATATAAGAATTATTTTAAATCATACATTGTTGATAAATAAGTATTTCTGAAGTATTTAAAGTTTCTTGAAAATAGTTCTAGGTAATTTTAATTTACCTGGTGATTTTGCTTGCGCTATGAATTTGGACTTTCTATGAGGAAAAGATTTCCTAAAACAAAGGTTAATGACAACCAGAGTATCATAAATCTCAAATTAGTTGCAATTGGCTAGCTTGCAGAAGTAGGGAACCTGGTAGAAGTTGCTATACAAAAAAAACAGTGTACAATTGCTTAATCTAACAATTTTTCATCATTTTTGACAGGTTTCCAATAGGATGTACTTAAAAGAATCATATTATTAGTTATATCACTGATATGAGTTATATAATCCATACCATTTAGTAAGAAGTACATTTATCATTTTTATTCATGGGGTACCTCATATGTCTTGATAAGCATTTTTAGGAAATTCTTTTAAACTATATTACCTTATTATTTTGTTAAAGTCATTTTCCTTATATACTTAGGAAACTGTTAGTTTAAAGGAAAAATATTCTGTTAAATTCACATATCTGGTGCTTTTTAATATTTAGTTTTTATAATTGTTTTGCTTTTTGAAAGAATTATTGAAACAATAAATGAAATACAGTGCTTTATAATATTTTATCTTTGTCGCTTGAGGAGGAATAGCATAGTTGTTTATTTCTGGCATTTGTAGCGAACTGACTTTGAATAAGTCTTTACTTGAATTTCTAATTTAAGCTAAAACACCTTGTAAAAGCACCCACATCTGTACTGCTGTGTTCTTTGTTTTTTTCTAGCTCATCCGTAGGTTATTTGCAGCCTTTAGGATCAGATCAGTTACAGTTTCCTCAAACGTCTTCGCCATGCAATTCCCAGCAACTTCAAAGCCACCAGTGTGCAGGTATGGAAACATAACTGAATATCTTTTCACATTTGAAAAAGAAAAACTAAATGAAGTGCATTAAAATTCTAGAAAACCCATTGTTCATTGCCTAGAGTGTATCTTGAGGGACTGAAGCATTTTAATCGCCATCTGCCAGAATCTTTCTCTTCCTTTAAAATTCACCTTGATTACTACCACCTCCATGAAATTTTCTCTTTCTCTCTCTCTCTCTCTCTCTCTCTCTCTCTCTCTCTCTCTCTCTCTCACTATATTTATATCAGGTCATGTCCCCCACTTCCAGAATATGTATGTGACTATGAGCAGTGACTATTTTTTTCATCTTTCTAACCCTAGCACCTAACTTACTGCTTTACAATGGGTAACTGTTTAATAATTATTGGCTGAATTAATCTGAATATATAATAAGAAATGTATAAATTTAAATACAATTAGTGGTGCCATCTAAATCACTCTTAACACTTTAAAGCCATTCGTATTTTGTTACATCCCATATTCGTACACAAAGAATGTGCCTATCACTGCACCCATTCTAGTTAACTATGCAACATATCTGATAACTGATGTCAACATTCATCCAAACCCAATTTTTATAAACTTAATCAGCCCCTGAAAATAGTAACTTAGGATAGCAGCCTCTCCAAGGGCACCATTCACTATTGTTGCTTCTATAACTTAGCAACATGAATACCTGGAAGCAGAATTTAGACTAGAAATGTAGGCATTACCCTCTCCCCTCTTCATCTACACTCATGTACAAATCTATGAATACGTTTATTTATAATGATGAGAAGAGTAAGCCAGAAGAGAGAGAAAAAAAAAAATTAGATAGTGTTTGGGGTTTTTTTTGTTTTGGTTTGATTTTGTTTTAGTTTGGTTTTTTTAGAAAGTGTTTAAATGGTGAGTGAGACAAAGGAAAATACGGTCCAGAAAAATTAGTTAACTTTACCAAGATCACAAGAAGTTAATAGTAGAGGCAGGATCCAATCTCTCCTTGGCTTAATGATCCTTTTTTTAAGTTTCTCATTTTTTTTTGTCTTTACAACTGGTGGTGTATTTAACACTGACCATAGCAAACTTAATTTCAGGTTTATTTTATTAAAAAGTGTATTTGAATAACTATTTAAAAGACGTTTAATAATGAAACTTTACAGATCACTCATTGCCTGCTGGATACTCCCACCTATATGTCCCAAAAGTAGTTCATGCTAAATATGTCCAGAACCCTAAACCTACCTCATCATCTTTCCCCTAAACTATATTCCTTCTCTTAACTTCCCTATTTCTGTCAAGGACACCACCATCATCCTAACCATGCCTGAAATACTATCTTTCTCCCATTACAATTCCCAGATTCCTAGCTTCCTTCAAAGCATAGCTCAGATGTCCTCAGCTTCAGGAGGCCTCTCTTACCTCTCCCTTCCACTGACATTCGTGCTCTCAAATCCTTTTCCCCAAAAATATTATTTTGTATATATGTATTTATCATTGGTCATGTTATTTACCCCCAGTAGAATGTAACTTCCACGAGGGCAGGAACTGTTTCCCTTTGACTTCCTATCCTCAAGCATCTAGCACAGTGCCTGGCATAAAACTGACATAGTAAATAAATGTTAAGTGAATGAATGAACATTTGTTAAATTGAGGGTAAAGACTGTTTCATTTTTTTGTCTTTGTGTCCACAGCACCTAATGTAGTACCTTCTTAGTATTTGTGCAACTGAATTGAATATTTTTTTTAATATTGCCCTTTTGGGTCTTACAGTAAAATAATGGGCGATGCTTTAAAATTACCATACTTACAATGAACATTCTATTTTTTAGGGTAAACATGACTTTTATCTGCTTCATCAATTTTACTTTCTCTTACCGAACACATTCTGTTAATAATTCTTATTATCTACAATTAAATAACAGCATTTAAGTACATTTTGTTCTGAAATTTAAATTTTTGCCCTAGTTCCAATTTTTTTAATGTAAGCAAAACGTGAAAATGAACATTATGCCAAGAGTTGTCCTTTTGTTTTGTAGCTGTACCGCCATCTGGTGGAGGAGTGGTCATGATGCAGTTAAATATACCAAACAGTTCTCAACCTCGGGCCCACTCACCCCCTCAGTGGAAACAAAACAAATACTACTGTGATCATCAAAGAGGACAAAAGTCAGTAGAATTTAGCAATTTAGAAAATGTCGTCCAGGTAATTTTACTGTTCGTTGTTCCTGATGATGCTAACTTTGTAACATAAAGTGTTTACTGCATAATAATAAATAACCTACTTCTTATGGATCTTTACAGTTTACAAAGCACTATATATCATCTCATTTGCTGTAACAATTCCTGACATATATTGTAAAGGGATGTTTCCAAAATTAACAATCTATGGCCATTTTTCTCATGTTTTAGATACTTTCACTACTTAAACTTCTGATCTTTCCATGTCTTTTCTTGTCACGTTTTAGTTACAGCACAGCCCTCAACTTAGTAGCCCGGTAACCTCACCAGCCCAGTCACCAGCACCAGCTCAGCTCTCCAATATGAAAAATATTTGTCCCACATTAGCACCTCTTTCCATCGTACCCCAGTTTTCTAGACCTTTTGTCCCTGGACAAGGTAAGTCTTTGATCATGAACAAGTAGTTATTGCCTTGGATAACTTAAAGTTTACCATGACCAAATAATTTGTTGTTTATTTCATTTCTACTTCTGTTTCTCCAGGACCTCATTTTCCAATGTAATAGTACCCCGGTCTAGTCCCCTAACCTACTTTAATAGGCAAAGATGCACCAGGAAAAGAGTAACTTAGAGTAAATAAAGAGGCAAGAGTTCCTCTGTACTCTACCCTCATCAGACCATATCTTGGAGTATTGTGTTCTGGGCACCCCATTCAGGAAGGCTGTTGATAAACTAGAGAGTATCCAGAGGAGGGCAGTGAGAATGATTAAGGGCCTTGAGTCCATGTCATCTGAGAACATGTTGCTGGAACTGGAAATGTTTGGCATCAAAAGGAGAAGGAAGTCCTGGGGGTGCCCAGCATCAGGGCCGTGGTGATCTTCTTTTAAGTATTCAAAGGATCGCCATACAGAAGAGGAATTAGACTTGTTTTGTTTGTCCCCAGATAACAGAATCAGGAGCAATGGATAGAAGCTGTAAAGAGGCAAATTTATCCTTGTTGTCAAAGATGTTCTAACAGTTAGGGCACACCCCAAGTGTCCAAGGCCACTGAGTCTGTCTTAGGAAGTAGTGGGTTTCCCTTCCTTCTAGGTCTCTGAACAGAGGCTGGGTGGCCACTTGTCAGATGGGTTATGGCACGGCTACCTTTTCAGGGAGAGGTTAAACTAGACAGTCACTGAGGTTCCCTCCAACTCTAAAATTCTGATTCCAAAGTTCATCAAGTAGACCCTGAATCAATTTAATCTTTGTCCACCTCCATGTACTTTCTCACTAAAAATCAGAAATGACTTCGTTGTTTTAAAACATCTTCTTTGATATATCACATCATATGCCTAGTATTATTTTTAGAGATGGAGGAAGACAATCCTGGGTTTTGTGCCCTAGAAAGTGTGCCATTCTTACCAGACAGTGAAAGGAGGCCCTTTTTTCTTATGTTTGGAATCTGTTGTCCTAAAGCAATATATTCAGATTATGACTCTTTCATATACAAACTGACATTCTTTAAGACTTCTTATCCCTATATTAGAATAATCTATTCTGATTTTGTGTGATTCCATAGTCACAGAATTCTGCCACTGTTTCTTAACTGCATTCTTCAGGAGAGGCACCAGGATGTAGTGGATAAAATAACCAGCTTCAGAATCAAGAAGACCTGGGTTCAGATCCTGCTCACAGATTGACTGGTCAACCCTGGGCAAATCACTAAACTTATACTCATCATGTCCAGAACTGAACTTAGTTTCTTTCCCCAAAAATCCTACCCCCGTTCAAACTTCTCTGTGACTGTTGAGGGTACCATTCTTGACCTTCATTCTCTCACCTCCCATATCCAAACTGTTGCCAAGACTTGTACATTTCACCTTTGCAACATCTCTCAAATATTCCCCCTTCTCTCTTCTGACACTGACACCAGTCTGGTGCAATCCCTCTTTGCCTCATTCTTGAGCAATTGCAATAGCCTGCTGGTTGGTCTGCCTGCCTCAATTCTGTCCCCACTGCAATCCATTGTTCATTCAGCTGTCAAAGTGATCTTCTGAAGGGCATGTCTGATGATGTCATTACCCTCCTCAGTAAACTCCAGAGATTCTGTATCTCCTCCAGGATCAAACACACACACACACACACACACACACACACACACACACTCTCTCTCTCTCTCTCTCTCTCTCCCCCTTTCCAGCCTTATAGCTTCCTCCTCACAACTTACTCTTCATTACAGTGACACTGGCCTCCTTGCTGTTCCTAAAACAAACCACTCCATCTCCCAAGGGACTCTGGGCATTTTAAGCACTGACTTGAAATGCTCTCCCTCCTTATCTCCTCCTCCTGGCCTCCCTGGCTTCCTTCCTATCCCACCTAATATCCTGACTTCTACAGGAAACTTTTCCTGAAGCCCCATAATTCAAATGCCTTCCCTCTGTTGATTACTTCCAATTTTGTCCTGACTGCATTGTATTTGTACATACTCTTTTGCATTTTATCTTCCTCATTAGCCTATGAACTCCTCAAGTGCAGGGACTGTCTTTTGCCTTTCTTTGTATCACCAACGCTTGGCACAGTGCCTGGCACAGAGTAGGAGCTTAATATTTATTTACTGTGACTGCCTGATTAACTTTTCAGTGTTCCCACACACTTTCCAAGTGTTGCAGAGCAGATGCCATTCTGCCTGGGTCTAGGGAGTTCCTTTTACAGATAACACAGATCCAGTCCAAAAAAGAATTCACCTTCAGATACTTCGTCCAGTAGTTTTGTGAATTTTCCTGAAACTTTGTCTATTTCTTCTTTAAATCATAGTCATTGTTTCAAAAAAAAAAATCATTCTGACCCTTAGGTAAGTCTTTTCTAACTTTGATTTTAAGTATCTTCAATATGTTCAAAAACTACAGCCTCACTGTTCCTGCCCCCAAGTTGTTACCTAGCCAGCAACTATGCCCCTCTGGCCTGAGCTTGCCTGTGTGTGTTCTTCAACCAGAGCTGCAGGACTAGTGGGGTAGAGACTAATAGATCATGGCTATTGAGTACTGTCAATGAGCTGCATAGCTACTATTTCTGTAATAACCAGGGAGGAACAGGCATCTCTGACAGAGTGAAGAATTTATACCATGTTTTTCCTTATGTTTTTTCCCCTCTTTATTTACTCTAACTTATTTCTCCCTCCAATATTACGGTGCTTTTTCTATCAAAAAATATCTTCCCTTGTTTTAATTAGAAAGCTGGGAAATGGTATTACAATCTAAAAAGGAAAAATAGAAAAAAAAATTCTTATTGCTTTCCAGGTGATTCCAGATATCCATTACTTGGCCAACCACTGCAATACAACCCTCCTTCTATTCTGCATGGACATATTCCGAACCAACAGGTGGGGAAGAGAGTTGCTTAGCCCAGGCAGGGTAGGGGTAGGAGGGGTGCAGGGAGGCGAGTGTGGAGGCAGCTCAGTGCAAATTTACTGCTCATGGGTAACAGCTTGAAGTATAGCCTTACCATGTGGTGGGGACCCAGAGTAATACTCCTATGAAGAATATCATAGGGGATGGCATTAATAATAGGGAAAGAAAGAAGCTGCCCTTCCACTAAGACAGGGGTGGGAAGGAAGACCTGGATTTGAATGGAAGGAATATAATTTCTACTTCTTATTTTCCCAAATGATTTATAATCCAAACTTCATTTAGATCTACTGTACCCATTCCTAAGTTTGCATTATTTTTAAACATTAAGAACATACACTTTTTCTGAAAAATTGGTATTTTTTGTAACGACCTATTTCTGACTCTTCAGTGTCAGCCTGGAAGCAGGCATGGAAATCGAGGAAGAAAACAAGCTAAAAAGGCTGCTTCCACTGACCTTGGCGCAGGAGAAGCAGGTAGATCATTTGGGGGCAATTGGGCATAATTTTGTTGTTGCTGCCTGGTGAAGCAGTCATTAAAAGAGACGATCCCAAAATAACCTTGCTGAAGTAATTAGGACAAGTATCACCATATTGGTCTAAAAACAAGCAATTTATTTCCCAAAATCTGACTTGTAAAAACTTTAACATTGGTGTTATTTTTCCTCACATGACTACATTCATCCTTGCAAAGAGATTTCATTTTACAGCTATGGACTCTGTTTGGGAATGGACTATATTTGAACCAATATGGTATAAGGGTTTTACAGATGAGGAAACATATATAAAGAATAAATGACTTGGCCAGAGTCACAAATCTGGCTTATTTAATTTAATGAAAGAACAAGGCTTTAGATCTCCTGACTCAACTCCTATATACATACATACACATATATAGATAGATAGATAACTTGCCCAACATAATTGGCTTCTTTGTAATTCTATGCATTTTATTTTCTGTAAATGTTCCAAGAGTTGCCCACAGGTTTCACTAGACTGCCAAAGGAGTCCATGACCCAGAAAAGATGAAAAATTCCTGGTCTCCAGCATCATCTGTGGCAGAAATGACACTGGCAGCTGAGTCGGTGCCCTTAGCATGATGTATGACAGCACTGAGCAGGATTGATATAAAATGATGGCTTTCATTGGGTGACTTTGCAATTATACATAAATGTATATGTACATATATAAATAATGTATGTGTATATGTGTATATATAGGAATGATTGATTAACTTAGAAAATCAGATCATTCTCATGATCAGAATTTGTGTTCAGCAGTCTTCTCTACATTTGGTAACAAAAACACTTTAATTCTATAATTTTCTTATTGCAGCTGTTGGAAAGGTCTTAGAAATTACTGAACTACCTGATGGGATAACCCGTGTAGAAGCTGAGAAGCTTTTTGGAGAACTCTTTAAAATTGGTGCCAAGATCCGCTGGCTCCGGGATCCCCAGTCTCAGACACCGCTGCGCCACCATTCTCTTTACTGTGGCAGTGGAGATGGCACAGTGAAGACAGAACAATCTAAACCTAGTGACTTGGCCTCCACATACACAGTTCTAGCAACATTCCCCTCCATTTCAGCTGCCCAAAATGCATTGAAGAAACAAATTAACTCAGTTAACAAGTTTAAGCTGAGGACAAGCAAGAAGCGCTATGACTTTCATATCCTAGAAAGGGCAAGTTCTCAGTAGCAGATCTACTACTGGACCGTCAGCCTTTATGACACCTCTGTCTTCTGCCGTCCTTGATTAGCTTGATGTTTGGAGCTTCTATTAACATTATGGAGGCTCCTGGGACAATTGGTCATGGTGTGATAGCATTCGAAGAAAGGCCAGTGATCCAGTAAGGGGGACAGAAAGAGATACACAGTCGACCCCAAATGACCAGAATTCATACCAACCTGATACAGAGTAGCAGCTTTCTCTGAGAAATGCTGTTAAAATGCCGCTAACTTTTATAGTTGTTTTGTTTTATATTTCTGAATTCTTGTATCAGATCCAAAGCTCTATTGTACAGCAAATTTTTCTTCACAACAAATAGCCGTATTGGAAGCTGAATTTCTTCTCCTTTTTGCAGCCAGGACACTGTGACCTCTCTTGGATGTGGGAAGGATGCAAGAAGTAGACTATCTGAGCCAAAACTATTCGTTCTTTTTTTCTTGGTGGGTGAATGAGAAGAATCCTCACATAGAAGATTCCTGTTCCTCTGAATTTCCAACCACACATTTTTCAGTAATGATAGAATTTGTTCACAAAGTCCTTTCCTTATTCAATATATTCAGACAATGTGAATGTTAATTGTAAATAAATTATGTTCTTAACTCATTTTAATCAAACCATTTAGCAGAGAGATTCTCTAAGGGGAATAGGAATCCTTCTTAAACAGGAAGAAAGTAAACTAAAATCATTTCTATTTTTCTTTTTTTTTAAGTCAGAGAGTAAAAATGATGAATCTTAAATATATGTCCCCCAGATAACTGTGCCACTTATTTGCCTTCCCCTCCATATGGATCTTATCTCTGGTCACTGTAAGGAAATACATTTGTCAAGTGCTAGAAAATCCTTCAATGGTTTAAATTTGTTTTCATTGTTTGCAGAGAATCACTGGACATCAAAGATTCATTGCACTGCAGAACGAGAAACCTTTTTTTCAATTTCTGTGTAATTTGCAAGGCTGTACAATGTGTGCTGATGCAAGCCTTTTTCAGTTCAGAAGAATAAATGTTTACAAATATAAAAGTACTGTGCATTTTAATGAGGATAGCCATAACCTCCTAATAGCATTAATGAATCTAATTTTTATAAAACATATGCCATACATTTTGGAAACTACCTCAAAAATCATCTTTTTCTTGTTTCTTTGTATGTCATTTAAGTATCACCTCCTGCAATATGATTCATGTAACTTCTTGTCCTCAGCAAATGAATTCTAATCAAAAGTGGAAAATTACAGGGCTTCCTCAGTGCTCCTGTGATTCTGTAATAGGAACTCCCTACAGAGGTAAAGGATGCAGTCCAGCCATGCCATTTGCATCCTGTGGTCTCCTCTCCATGTCCTCCCCTATATCTTCCACTAGAAGTACCAACGAGACAGAGTCCATCCATTCATTGTCCCTCATGGTCACTACATAACCACCTCATCTCCTTTTTTGAGTCATAAAATATGTTTAACACCACTTCTATTGTACAGTCCTTTACCAATAAATATACACATGTGCATGCACACACGCACATTTTATCCCCAGTGGGTGTCTTTCCCTTCCCATTTGCGTAGCCTGCAACTTGTAATTCTTCAGATGCTCTCTAGCAACCCAGCGAAAGAACAATATTAAAAAGATAGAAATCGTGTGAAGACCAAAAAAAAATTTTTTTTGTTTTGTTATTTTGTTTTTTGTTTTTAAGAATTTGGTGTTTGCACACAATCTCTTTTGGGTTAATTATTTCATTTGTAAATTATTTGCTCCATTTGTAAATATGTTGACACATGCCTTTTAGCTATTTCACTACTTGTTCTTAAAGTAATTTAGATATCACTAACATAGAAGATCAATTATTGCCCACCCTAACTTCCCTGGGGACTAGTTTGGTTCCAGGCCATTCTAGGGGGTTCAGATTATGAAGTCACATGTTCTTCTCTAGTTCAGAATATCAGATTCATACTATGGCAGGCCTGAGGTGACTCAAACAAACTGACTCACATCTGAGCAGAAGCAGACCTAAATGAAAGGTAGCCCAGAAACTACCTTGATCCCAGGAATCCCTTGAATGTAGACTGATGATAAATATTGACCTCCCAGCATCTAGAGAGTAGGATCTCTAAATGTTAGCTATCATGTATAAACTTGAAATCTTCAAAGGATTTGGAAGGGAACCACTCCAAGAGGAAGGATTTGGAATAAAAATCATGGTAATCATTTATTGATCTTATACTTGCGGGGAACACTTTTATTCCATTCTGTCCTGTATTTGTATGGTCATTTAAGCTCTGACATTAATCTTTCAGTTGCAAGGACAAGAGGTGGGAGCTTAGATAGAAGACAGCAAGAATCATAACTGTAAGGCCAACAAAACAGACTTGAGTTCCCCTATGACCTCCAGCCAGCACATGAGATACATGATTCTGTTTTATTTTAGTACCTTTCTCTGAATATTCTCTTTAATCCCTCTTTCCCAGAGTCAGCCCTTCTGAAAAGTCTTAGGATTATAAAAATCAGCAATTTTATAAACATTTATCCTCAAATCATAGATTCAGAGCTAGGAGAGGCTTTGGGGATCATCTGGTATAACTCCTTCATTTTACAGATGACCCTCCCCAAGGCCCAGAGAAAGGAAGGAACTTGACTATGGTCATATAAGAGGTAAGTAGCAAATCCAGATACTCCCAATTTCAGATCCATTGCTTTTCCCACTATAATACAGTACCTCCATGCTTTAGGAACTCCCATGGAGCAATTATTCAAGGGGCCAGATGGTCCTGGAAAAAATGGCTCTACTGATGATTAGTGCTTGAGAAAATGTGTTAAAACACCTGAGGTTTTTATACAATTAAGTCATAGCACCCAGCCTCATTAAATAAAGCAACTAAGACTTTCTCTTATCTCACTGTAAGCATATGGACAGTGCATTAGCAGTAGAGAGTAGGCACACAGTGTGACCTATTCAAAGCCCCTGACCTCTAGGAAACACCAGAGCAAACTTCCAACACTTCCACTATCTACCTTTACCAAAGTCTCCACTACTTTCTCACAAACTAAGATCTTTTACCCACAAGCATGCAGTCTCCCAGATCTGTTTACCACATTGATTTATTTTGGAGTCAGTGTTGTGTTTATCATTAAAGCAGTCACTTCCCTAACATCTCAAGCATATATCAATTGACTGGCCTCTTCCTTAGGCTAAAAGACTGAATAATAAGCAGAATGTTTTAACATCCTTTTTAAACAGCACTTAATATTTTTTAACCAGTCAATGGTTTTAAGAAACATCACTGATTACTTGTTTCAAGCCTTTAGTATGTTTATTCATTAAATATTTATTGAACACTTAATATGTGCAAAGTGCTATGAGCAATGCACAGGTGAAAAATGCACTCCATGCCCCAGTAGAGGTAATAGTCTAGTGGAAAAGGTAAGATACTGAACAGAATATGAAAGTACATTAGAGGATTATAAAGCATTATGAGAGTTCTGGTGAAAGACTATTTGTAGTTATGGGCGCATCAAAGAAAGCTTTTGCTGATTATCTCCAATTTATCCCGGATATATCTTATCTGTACAAAATTGTCTGAGTGTTGTTTCTCCGCTAGACTCAGCTTTCTTGAGAGCCTTTCTTTGTATCCCCAGTGCTTAGCACAGTGCCTCACTCATGGTTGGCACTTAATAAACACGTATTGACTAACTTTGGGAAAAGGTGACATTTGAACTGAGTTTTTTTGTATAGCTAGAAATTACACAGGTGGAGCTGAAGGCATTCTATAGAGGTTATAAGGACCTGGAACAGATCTAGGATGAGAATGGAAGTGGAGAGTTACTGTAGAGGTAGAATCAAAAGGCCTTGGGAACTGACTGGATGAGTCCCTTTTGTCAGTATTGATTTACCTTGATTTTGCTACATTTGATACTACTGACCAGTGATGCTTGTTAATTGATTGGCCCTGCTTCTTTCTGTATGCCCTGCTCCATTGGCTTCCATGATCAGATTCTTTCCTGGTTCTCCTATTGCTTTTTTCTCTTTGCTGGTTTCTTCCCCAAAAAACATAGGTGTCATACACACCCCCTCCCCACCTCAGTCAAGATTCTGTCCGTGGCCCCTGTCTCTCTACACTTTCTCCTTCGCCCATATAATCTCCAATGATTTAAATTATCAATATGTGCACCTGACTCCCAAATATATATTTATCTCTAGCCCCTTCTTCCCATCAGTGCCAGTCCTACATTTCCAGTTGCCTGTTTAACATCACCTAGATAGATGTCCTGCCACACCTGACACTCCAATGTGACCCAAACTGAATTCTCTCCCTCCACTTAGTCCTGGTTCTTTTCCTGGCTTCTATATTACTGTTGATGGTACCATCATATTCCCAGTCATTCAAGGCTGACATCTCATCTTTTGACTTTTTCGTCTTCACTCCCACATCCAATCAATTGCCAACTCCTCTATTTTATCTCCACAGCATGTCTGCCATCATTCTACTCCTCTTTCCTCATACTGCCACCAACCTAGGTCAGGCCCTCACTACCTTTTAGTTCAAGCATTGTTATAGACTCAGTGACTGCTCTGTTTCCAGTTTCTTGTCTCTCTAATCCATCCCTCACACAGCTGCCTAAATAATCTTCTAATGCACAGGCCTGACCTTGTTACTCCTCTGTTTAAAAAAAAGAAAAAGAACATTATTAGCTCCCTGTTGCATAATGAGCTTGAAGCGCCACTGTCTAACAGGCAGTTAGAAATAAGGACTGTAATTTTGAAAAAAGGCTCAGGGCTGGAAATAAAATGATTTAGGATTAGTCAGACAATAAAAAATTATTACGTTCTTACCATGTGCTTGTCACTGTGCTAAATGCTGGGGATGTAAAGATGACCATCATTGAATGAGAGAGACAACACACAAAAAATCACGCATGTAAGTTGTACACGATGTAAATGAAAGGTGATGTCCACATAGAAATGGTTTAAGAGACCATGGAGAGAGATGAAATGGTCAAGAGATAAAGATCAGTGAGAGAAGAGCCTTAGGGAACATTTTATCTACATTTAAGGTATGCAGCAAGAAGGAGGAGCCTGTCAAAGAAGTAAAAGGATAACCAAGAAAGTGTAACTAGAAGTTGGAAAGTTTCAAGAAGGGAGATCAGTGTCAGAGGCCACAAAGAGAAATGGAAGCAAAAGGACTGAAAAAAAGTCTAGTGATCTGGCAACCAAGAAGTCTATGGTGACCTAGGAGGGAACTATTTCAATAGAGTAATAGGCATGCAAAAGGTTGAATAGAGGAAAGGTTGAATTAAAACACCAGAAGACAAACATAGACCACAACCCTGTAGTTATGGACAACAGAAATAAAATCACATTATACACACAGTAAAGAAAGCCAGGAGGGGCAGCTAGGTGGCACAGTGGATACAGTACCAGCCCTGAAGTCAGGAGGACCTGAGTTCAAATTAGGCCTCAGACCAAACACTTGACACTAGCTGTGTGACCCTGGGGAAGTCACTTAACCCCAATTGCCTAAAAAAAGAAAGCCAGGAAAACAAGAGAAATACGGTCTTCTACCTTCCCTACCAATCCATATAGTCCTAGCCCTACTCTGGGTGGGGCACCTTCTCAATTGGAGAAAATAAAGGAGGAGAAGGGTTTCCCCACCCTCCCTGTATCTGCAAAATTCACCTGATAATACTAGTGAAAGATGGGATCTTTGCTCCTTTTAGTGACTACCTCATAGTTTTTTTTCCCTCTCCAGCAGCTCCTAGTTTGAAGCAGGTCCATGGCTCATTTTCTGGTTTTGTTTTGTTTCTGTGTGTGTCACTAGCACCTAACAGTGTCCTGCATGTCCTAGGTACCTAATAATTACTTATAGTATTATACTGATCCAAGAACCCCAACTCTGGCAGCTCATGTTCTGTAGTGCCCAACTTGAACCAGGAGCTTATCACTGTCTTCATCTCTGTCCACTGCTTCCCTGGGACTAAAAGCTTCCATGTTATGGAGAGGAGGAAAACTACTGTATGATTATGCAGTTTTCTTTC